GCCTACCTGCAGCGGTGTTCTCCTTCGCTTGGAAAAGCCCCTGCAGAGACACTGCTGTGTCACTCCCAACAAAGCTTTAAAAATTTCTTTTGCTATAACAAAGCCACAGTTTATAAAGTAGGAAAAAAAAAAGACAGAAAAATACCTTTATTGTCCTCCCTTTACTTTAGAAATTAAGTGTCACTGGGAATACCGCCTCTACTAAGGAGCACAAAGTAAAGAACCGTGCTAAAAGCTGGTTTAGGATTTTGTAGAAAAAATGCTCCATGTTTGGCTACTAAACACAAACATCTCACCTGTGAAGAGCTTGGTAAACAACATACTAAATCAGTCAGAATCCTACATTTTACTGGAAGAATACACTTCCCATTAGTCTCCCAAGAAAGCTGCACGCACACTTCTGCTAAGGGTTTAAGACAGATCAGCTAAACTTCAAGAAAGAACTTTAAGTCTGAACCAATTTATTTTATGTGTATTTGCAACACACCCATCTTATCACCACACACTTACGTTATTTTTATACTTCTACCAGCAAGCACTCATACACAGTCCCAATAAGAAAAGCTGTTACAGGTGTAGAGATTTGACTTGAAAGTGAACATTACAAGACTTAACATTTGAAAGATGACAAAATCTCCCTGTAGGATTTTTTCTCTCTTCTAGGAAGTTTATCTCTGTAACAGGATACCTACAGACCACTAAACTCTCATCAGTATTACTCATCAAATCCCAGAACATTAGAAACTAGTAACTCTCCATCACAGTCACAGCTGCAGCTTAATTGCATTTAACTGATTTATGTGGGTGCCACGAAAGAAGGACATAAACATGTTTTTAACATTTCTTTAACATCAGGAAGGCTAAAGCCCAACAGCATCACATTTGCTGCATAATCCCAAAGAAAATACTTTGGAGTAAAATACATTGAAATGATAAAAATTCCAACAGGAATTCCAATACCAGAAAAACACAGGTAACATTTCAACTGCAAGAACTGTAAACACATTTAAGTATGGAAAATAGCAGTTAGAGTACAACCCAAAACATGCAATAACCACGTGCTTATGATAAAAAGGACCTCTGTGAGCTTCAAAGGTGTTTTACATAACTTATTCACAAACAGCGACAACTGCAAGGCATGGATACAGAAATCAGAGTGCTCAGTGGTCATTTCAATTTCTCAGCATGTTTGGATTTCAAATGAAATTTTTTTGAGAAAGAAGGCAAATCTCTGCAAAGACTACCTAGAAAATCTAAGGGCTCCGAGATGGGTTACCCAAGGAAGGCTGTGAGCAGCAAGCACGAAGTGTGAAACTGCAAAGCCTACTATCTGACAGGCTCCCCGCCAGCACGTGTACGTGTGAGCTCAACCTGCCTTTGAGGGAGAATTAATTACTTCTGGAAAGCTTTGTCTAAACGGCGTGTAGTGGAGTTTGCTCCACTTTCAGTGAACATAGGGTAAACAGAGAGTTTACGGTTAACTAGCTTTCCCATGTAGATACAGTTTCAGCGTGTAACAACACAAGGCTGTCTATTTCTGAGGAGGGGTGAGGATGGCTCCAACTGTCTATGCAACAAACACAATCCTACTTCTGCCTGCCAGCACATTCATACTCCACAGGCGCTCCAAAGTACCCATATACTCCAAAGCTTCATAAAGGAACCTTTACCCTTCTAAGAAAAGACGAGTTTGGAAGTATTGCTGCCAGCCTTCGTGGAAGATTAAGTCAGGAAAAAATATTTTTCCATTTTCATCACACAAATCTTAAGAGTCAGCACGTGTCCATGACACAACACTTTAAGATGCCTAAGGGTCTGACTCATGACAAAAGCTGCTCGGTGATGACGCTGCACAGAGCAGTAATAAGAGCAAGGCTATATGCAGAGCTCTGCTATTGTGCAGGATGTCTACATACAGGGCTTATAAGTGGTGTGGGGGGAGGAAAGTCTCAGAAGGTTGCAGAATAATCACTAAGTCTTAAAAAAAAAAAATATTATTACTGTGGCAAAATACATCTTTCCTTGATGCAGGGGAGTCTA